GGGTTTTTTGGGAGCTTGTTCCCATTTTTGTATATCCTATATTAGCTACTTCTATTGGTTCTCTAGCTTAGTTTCTCTTTGATTTATACACTTACATTTAAATCAAAAAAGAAAGAGCTCTCGGTTCGGCCGAAACTCCTTTTGGTCTTACCAACGAATGTTTTTATATCTCTGTTGAGCCTTTGTTAATGGTTCCGGTTAGCTAGTACATGATCACTTGTTTGGTTGTTCTTGGAATCCCCAATGTCGGATTCCTCGAATAACTCGTCTAGCTCTAGCTCTTTTGCTTTGTTCTTTAGGAGCATGTTCCCAACTTATTGTACATCTTGTATATGCTACTCTTGCTTGGTTCCCTAGCTTGTTATATTTTGATTAATATACTTACATTTTGATCAAAAAAGAAAGAGCTCTCGGGTTTGGGTTTGGTCACTAATGTCGCCAAGTCTTTTATTTATTTTGGGGGAGTCAACAACGATCGAGAACTGCTATTGTCCAAGATTCGAGATTCAATGAAGGTACCTTTCCCTTTAGATATTTGGGATTCCCTCTTAGTCCACATAGATTATTGGCTAGCCGGCTTTACCCGCTTCTTCGGAGGCTCGAGGGTGCTATTCAAGGTTGGATGGGGAAGCACCTTTCTTTTCTTGGTAGATTGGAACTCCTACGGTTAGTTTTAATCGGCATGATCCACTTTTGGTTATCTATCTTCCCCCTTCCCTCTACGGTTATATCTAGCATTGTCAACATCTACGGGAGCTTCCTTTGGTCGAGAGATGCTAAAAAATTCAATATCGCCTTGGTTTTTGGCGGCATATATCGTCGCCCAAAGGAGGAGGGTGGTCTGCGGCTCTTTGATATCAAATCTTGCAATGCTTCTTTCATTGCTAAGCGGCTCCGGGATATTCATCTCAAGTTTGATTCGATTTGGATTCGGTGGGTCAATCACTATTATCTTCATGACCATTCGGTGTGGGAGGCTTAGGCCCATAAACATGCCTCCCCTTTGTGGAAATCAATCATCTGCTGCGAAAGGTCGGCTTGTCCAGCAGTTTGGGGATAGTGCATATGTCATTGATATGATTCATAGTTGGCAAGTCGGGGATGGGAAATTCACACATCATGCTTATGAGCATTTTCGACCGAAAGGGGTCTAGGTCAACCGGGTCCATGTGGTTTGGGAACAATGGTCCTTACCACGACATGCTTCTATTCTCTAGTTGGCTATTAGGGGCAAGTTGAGAACCAAGGATCAACTTCACTATATTTCCGAGGATCCCTTGTGTCCCCTATGTCACCAAGAAGAGGAGTCTCATAACCATCTCTTCTTTGCTTGTAGCTAGTCTTGGTCTCCGTGGTCTCGGATCAAACGGTGGTTACATCCGTCTAGAGTTATGACTACTCTTCCGAGTGTTGTTAGAGGTTTATCTACCCGACAAAAAAACTTGGTTTCACGGATGAACGGGGTTTCACTAAGCATTCGTTGTCTACCTCATATGGGGGAGAGAAATAGGAGGATCTTTCAGGAAACCCATAAATCGATTGGCCATACCCTCGGGACGTTCCAAATCTTGTTCTTCATGATCTTTTATTATCATCAAACGGATCCTACTATTCCGGACGTTGGATAGGCTTTCTCGCTCTCGGTGGCTTGTGAGTTCTCTGCAGGTGCCTTGCCTAACACTAGTTCCGTGATTGATGGTTTGTTGTGGAGTCTTCTATTGTTTTTTTTATTGCGGTGGCTCTAGCTCGGCGCTACCGCTTCTATCGGCTCCTTTATTTGTCCGCTTAGTTGGTGCCTTCCTCCTCCGGCTCGGGGATTCGCCTTTGTCCGGGTTGCCTAGGCTCGTTTGTTCGGTAGCTCGGCTTCCGCTAACCTCGGATGCATCCTCGCTTGGCATGGCCGCCTTGACGCCGCTAGGCTCGCTTTCCTGCCTTTTGGCGTTGTTTATCCTCTGTTGCTCGCTTGCTCCATCCGGGCTTTTGCTTTTTACTCTGTGTGTATAGCTGGGTTTTTTAAATTGTTACATTACTCCCTATGGCCTTTTAGCTAAATTTTTTTATGCTTCGTTGAGCCTCCGTACATGGTTCCGGTTAGTTAGTTTAGTATATTGAGGGGTTTTTCTTAGAATCTTCACCGTCGATTCCTTGAATAACCTTTTGTTTCTAGCTCTTTTGCTTTGGGTTTTTTGAGAGCTCGTTCCCAATTTTTTTATATATCCTTTATAAACTACTTCTATTGTTTCTCCAGATCTCGGTTACTCTTCGATTTATACACTTACATTTAAATAAAAAAAAAGAGCTCTCGGTTGCTCTTAGTGTGTGTGCGCCTAGAGAGATAAAGTAGAGAGAGATGCTCTCCTCCAAGAGAGAAATTTCCCTTCGATCGACTGCTCGCCACTTTTGGTTCCTCTTCTCCTTCCTCTTCCACTAATACCTCCATCTTCTTATGCCCTTCCCCGTTTCTACCTCTTTTCCTCTTTCCCCTTCCATTTATGCTTCTATTCATCATCCCCCTTATGCTCTTTCTCTCTCCTTGGCTTCTTCTCTCTTCTCCCCCTTGGTTTGTTTCTCCCAACTTGTTTCATGGCTAAAAAGAAGAAGAAATTTGGCTTTAGACGTGTTCCAACGGGAGGGTAGAGTGATCTAACAAAACTAGTGCGAGCCACTAGCGACCTTGTTTGGTCCTCCTTCTTCTCCATCCGTAATTATTACTCGTTCATAAAAATCAAAAACTTCAAACTATCGCCGTTGGGACTAAAAACCTTGCTAAACCTCCTTCCCTTAACCAAGTGGAAGTTGAGGAATGCTTTAGTGATGACGATTTGGCATCCGAAACCGCTAGTTTGGGGAAAGATTCGATTTGGCTAAAAATTCAAATTCTCGCTCAAAATTTTTCAAATATGGTTTTCTCGCCCATGGTCCTAAGGAGGCTGGGAATCGGTCTTCGCTAAGCTTCCAGCTAAAGGGATGTTGATCTCCTCCTCTACCTCTAGCAAAGCTTCCTTTTCCCCCTCCGGATCGATTTGGTTGAAAATTCAAATTCCCGCTCAAAATTTCGCACCCTCGATTCTCCGGTTGGCTATTAGGGGCAAGTTGAGAACCAAGGATCGGCTTCATTATATTCCTAAGGATCCTTTGTGTCCCCTATGTCACCAAGATGAGGAGTCTCACAACCATCTCTTCTTTGCTTGTAGGCTGGTCCTAGTCTCTGTGGTCTCGGATCGAACGGTGGTTACATCTATCTAGAGTTATGACTACTCTTCGAGTGTTGTTAGAGGGTTATCTACCCGACAAAAAAACTTGGTTTCACGGATGAACGGGGTTTCACTAAGCATTGCTTGTCTACCTCATATGGGGGGAGAGAAATAGGAGGATCTTTGAGGAAACCCATAGATCGATTGGCCATACCCTCGGGAGGTTCCAAATCTTATTCTTCATGATTTTTTATTATCATCAAATGGATCCTACTATTCCGGACGTTGGATAGGCTTCTCGCTCTTAGTGGCTTGTGAGTTCTCCGTAGTGCCTTGGCTAACACTAGTTCCGTGATTGATGGTTTGTTGTGGAGTCTTCCGTTGTTTTTTCCGTCACGGTGGCTCTAGCACTGGCGCTACCGCTTCGTTAGCTCCTTTATTTGTCCGCTTAGTTAGTGCCTTCCTCCTCTAGCTCGGGGATTCGCCTTTGTCTAGGTTGCCTAAGCTCGTTTGTTCGATAGCTCGGCTTTTGCTAACCTCGGATGCATCCTCGCTTGGCATGGCCGCCTTGACGTTGCTAGGTCTACTTTCCCGCCTTCTAGTGCTTTTTATCCTCTCGTTGCTGTCTTGCTCCATCCGGGATTTTGCTTTTTACTCTTTGTGTATAGCTGGGTTTTTTAAATTATTACATTACTCCCTATGGCCTTTTAGCTAAATTTTTGTATCTTGTTGAGCCTCCGTACATGGTTCCAATTAGTTAGTTCGGTATATTAAGGGGTTTTTCTTAGAATCTTCACTCGTCGATTCCTTGAACAACCTTTTGTTTCTAGCTCTTTTGCTTTGGGTTTTCCGAGAGCACTGTTCCCAATTTTTTTGTATATCCTTTATAAGCTACTTCTATTGTTTCTCCAACTTCGGTTACTCTTTGATTTATACACTTACATTCAAATCAAAAAAAAAAGAAAAAGAAAGAGCTCTCGGTTGCTCTTAGTGTGTGTGTGCCTAGAGAGATACGAGTAGAGAGAGATGCTCTCCTCCAAGAGAGAAATTTCCTTTTTGATCGAGCTGTCGCCACTTTTGGTTCCTCTTCTCCTTCCTCTTCCACTCGATACCTCCATCTTCTTATGCCCTTCCCCGTTTCTACCTCTCGTTCCTCTTTCCCCATCTCTCTATGCTTCGTTCATCGTCCCCCTTCTACTCTTCCTCTCTCCTCGACTTCTTCTCTCTTCTCCCCCTTGGTTTGTTTCTCCCGACTGTTTCATGGCTAAAAAGAAGAAGAAATCGGCTCTAGACTTGTTCCAACGAGGAGGGTAGAGTGATTTAAGAAAACTAGTGCTAGCCTTAGCGACCTTGTTTGGTCCTCCTTCTTCTCCATCCGTAATTATTCTTGTTCATAGAAATTGAAAACTTCAAACTATGGTCATTGGGTCTAAAAACCTTGCTAAACCTCCTTCCCTTAACCAAGTGGAAGTTGAGGAATGCTCTAGTGATGACGATTTGGCATCCGAAGTCGCTAGTTTGGGGAAAGATTCGATTTGGCTAAAAATTCAAATTCCCGCTCAAAATTTTTCAAATCTGGTTTTCCCGCCCATGGTGCTAAGGAGGTCGGGAATCGGTCTTTAGCTAAGCTTCAAGCTAAAGGGATGTTGATCTCCTCCTCTACCTCCAGCCGAAGCTTCCTCTTCCCCCTCCGGATCGATTTGGTTGAAAATTCAAATTCTCGCTCAAAATTTCGCACCCCGATTTTCCTACCCATGGTGATCGAAGGCCGGGCGCCGGGCTACAACTACGACTCTAGCTCCGGGGATGCCGATCTCCCCCTTTACCTTCGGTGAAGCTTCCTCTTCCCCCTCCGGACTGGATTACCCTCCACCTCCCGCCTCGAGGGGCACAACACCATCTCCCCCTCCAAGCACTTCCGGGTAACTCGAACACCCTTCTAGAAAATGGAGGGCCTTATTTGCTAGCAATCGTAGCATCGAATCTTGCACCGAAGCTTACTCACTTCACTCGCCATAAATGCTTCTAAAACATGCACACTACTTGATGATGACCCTAAATTTAAAATTTGGAAGAAATGTCCGGTTGGCTATGTTGTCGAAAAGTCTCTCGGCTACGTGGTGCTCGAATGGCCTTATTGCTAGTACATGGAAATGTGAGGCCTCATTGTCTATCCATGATTCTGGTTGGTTGATTGGTCGGTTTACAAATTTTCCTCTCGAAGAGGCTAAATCATCTATGCTTAATAGGGGCCCTAACTTAATTTTCGACGGACCTCTACTCTCGAGGCTTATACCCGAATTTTTCAATTTTTCAAGTGTGGAAATGTCGATGGTGCCGGTCTAGGTAAAGTTTCCTAACCTCCTCCTAAAATGCTAGTCTCTTTTATACCTTTCGAAAATTGCTAGCATGCTAGGGAAGCCCATTCAATGTGATAGATTGACTCGCCTTTATGGAGAGGATTTCGTATGCTAGGGTATTGGTTAAGTTGAACATTATGGAGGAATTGCCCCGAGTGGTCCAAGTTAGGCTCTCGAATGGTTCCACTCGCTCGCCTTGTCATTTACAAAACACTCGCCCACGCATTGCAAGGTTTGCCGTGTGTTGGGGCACTCTACCGTCGCTTATGGCAAGGGCTCGACCGAGGTGCTTTTGCCTACCGAAAAGGCTATGAATGGTTCATGCCAAGAAGGCCAAGCCGAGTAGAGTGGGCCTACAACGCCGGGGCATGGCGCCGCTAGTGCCTCTGCCGCTTTGGCTAGGAATGTTCAATTTGATCCTATGAGTTCGAAAGCTACCGTAGGCTCGGGTAGTGGAATACAATTAGAGGCAAAGCCAAAGCCAAGCCTCGGTAGAATGCTCAACGTCGATAGAATGCTTCTACTCATTCTCGATAGAACCCACAAATCTAGGTTCGAGGCACTCATCGGGATACTCTTAGGCCTACCTTGGGTGCTCACAACGAGGCAAGTCTCATTGTCGAACTAAGCATTGATTCCTTGGGCATTGGCCCCGCAGCCAAAGTCGATCAAGGGACTTTTGACGAGGCTCAACTAGCCTAGATGGGCTCGACGGGCCTCATACTGGGACTATTCACCAAAGAGATATCACCAAAGGTAGTGATGGCCTCGCTACTTGTAATGAAACCGGTGTGGATATGGCTACCATGGTTATCGAGCTGAATAGTTATCCAATGGGGCTAAGGATGGCTCCCAAGGGGCGACCCTTAGAAGCGAAGCCGCAATGCTAAACGGGGGATAAGGGACTTCCTACCCCCTCCATAGCACTATGTTGATCTTCACTTGGAATGTTAGGGGCCTTAACGAGTCCCCTAAAACAAGTATGAGGTTGTGGGCCTCATGCGGAAAGAAAAGATGAATGTCCGTGCTTTTGTTGAAACCAAGGTTAGCCTCCCTAAGCTTTCCCAAATGCACAAGGTTCGATTGAAGCACCGGCAATTTCTCTCTAAAGCTTCGGTGGCCTCCAATGCCCGTATTATTCTCTTTTGGAATATGAAAACAGCTCTAATTGATCTTTTAGATGTCTCCGCTCAAGGGTTGAACGTCCGTATCACCGACCTTGCCCACTAGTGAGGCTTTCGGGCTACCTTTGTTTATGGTTGTAATAACCTTATTCGAAGATGGGAATTGTGGGCCGATCTTCGTAAATGGACTATAGATGGTCTTTAGCCTTATTTTAGAGGATTTCAACTCGGTCCTTTCACCGAGTCGACAAACATAATGGCATGGACGTCGCATCCTAAGAGACTTCGATTTTCGCTCCCGTTGCTTGGGCTCGGGCCTCGGCGACCTCCCCTACACGGGTAGTCACTTTACATGGAATAACGAGTAGATTATGGACTAAGATTGATAGAGTCCTAACCAACTCTCATTGGCCAACTCTCCAACGACCCTACTTCGTCCACTTAGACCTCCCGGAGCTTTCTCGACCATGCCCAAGCCTTGGTACAGCCTTACTCTCCGGTCCCTCAAGGCCGCACTTGCTTCAAATTTTTCAACATGTGGACAGAATATGACGGCTTCCTTTTGACGAGTGGAACAACACTCGGTATGGTGACTTCGGGGCGGGTCGATGTATGTGTTGTGCAAAAAGTCGAAGGCCTTAAAGGGGCCCTTGAAAGCCTTGAATAAGGTTCACTTTAGCCATATCTCCGAAAGGGTTTCTCGTGCAACGACCGACCTTGTGAACCTCCAGCGAGCTATCCAAGCCGACGGGGATAGTTTCCCCCTTTTAGTGCAAGAGCGACATTTGAGACTCGAATTTGGTTCGCTTAAAATTAGTTAAGAAGATGTTCTTTGGCCAAAAGTTAAAGTGCAAATTCCTAGAGGAGAGTGACAAGGGCAGCTGGTACTTCCACACTCTTATGCACCAAAGTCATAGGAGAAACTTCATTACCTCCATCCAAGACCACTCTAGGCGAGTTACCACCTCTCTCTCGTTGTTGGGGCTGTGTTTGTTGACTACTATAGGGATTTACTAGGCTCCTCTCGGGACACTCTCCCCTAGATGCGACGAGTTGTTGCTAACGAGCCTTATCTTGATCCCTCGGCTTCCGATATACTCGCTAGCTTTTGTCTCTAATGATCGGATAAATGAGACTCTGTTTGGGATTGACAATGATAAAGCCCTCGGCCGGATGGGTATACATCGCTATTTTTCAAACGAGCTTGGGGAACATTGGTGATGATTTTTTTTATACGGTTAAGGATTTTTTCACCTCTGGGAGACTCCTAAAGCGAGTCAATCATTCTATCATTGCCTTGGTGCCCAAATCGGCACATACCTTTACTCCTTTAGATTATATGCCAATTTCTTACTACAATGTCATATACAAGGTGATCTCCAAGCTCCACTCTTTCGGATTAGCCTTGGCTCTAAAGGATATTGTTAGTCCCATGCAAAATGCTTTCTTGGGAGGCCGGATGATGTCCGATAACATCCACCTACTTCGGGAGCTCCTTCGTCGGTATTGTATAAAGTAGGCTTCTCCGCGCTATCTTTTGAAGGTTGATTTTAGGAAAGCTTTTGACTTCATTCGGTGGGCCCCTTTTTTCCACTAGGTAATGTCTTGCGTGGAGCCATCCTCCTACTCAATTATGGTCAACGGCAGCCTATTTGGTTTCTTTCCAAGTAAAGCGAGCATCCGACAAAGGGACCCCCTTTCCCCTATCTCTTTATTGCTTGTATGGAATACTTTTCTTGTATGCTTCGAGCATGTATCGACCACTAATGAAGTTCGATTCCATCCTAAATGTGAGCCTCATCGAATTACTCATATTGCCTTTCGCTGATGATGTTATGCTTCGAGTAGCGGGGATAGAGCTTCCGTTCAATCTTTGGCTTAGCGAGTTGAATACTTTTGGTCACACACCGGGGCTTGCCATAAACCCGACTAAATCTTCTATCTACTTTAGGGGCATTGGTAACTACCCGAAGCTAGCCCTCCTTCAAGATACGGGGTTCATCGAAGGAGCCTTTCCTTTTGTTATCCGGGAGTTCCCCTTAGTCCCCATAGGTCGTTAGTGAGCTAGTTCTCGCCTCTATTTCGAGCCTAGAGTCCGTTGTTCAATCTTGGTCGGGGAAGCATCTCTCCTATGTTGGCCGGCTTGAGCTACTGCGAACCTGTCTTGGTCGGGTTGATACGATTCGGTCGGGTATCTTCCCAATTTCGGCTTCGATCATGTCCCATATCACTAGCATTTTCCGGAACTTCCTATGGACTAGGGATGTGAATAAATTCCATTCTACTCTAGTGGCTCGGCGGTAACTCGTTACCCGAAGAGGGAAGGAGGAATTGGCTTACATGACTTTAGAATCCTCAACTCCTCGCTTTCTTGCCAAGCAACTTTGGAACATCCACCTTAAAACTAACTCAATTTCGATTTAATGGGTCCATCATTTTTACCCGCATGTCGGTGTGTGTGGGAGGTCCAAGCTCATAGAACCAATTCACCCATGTGGAAATCAATCCTATCCACCGGGGACGACCTTGTTGAGAAATTCGATGACGCCGACCGGGTGATTGGCAAAATGGGACACCGGAATTTAGGCGATTCTTACGTAATGCTTATGACAATCTTCGACCTATAGGCATGCCGGTTCGTTGGGCCGGGGAGTTTGGGAACATGGGCCTTGCCGAGACATGCGTTTGTTTTATGGTCGTCGGTTAATGGGAAGCTCAAAACTATTGACCACTTAAGATTTATTCTGCGATTCACACTATGCTCTATGTCGGCTTGACCTAGAATCGTATAGCCATCTATTCCTTGAATGCCCTTTGACTTCTATTCCGTGGGCTAATACTAGACAATGGCTGCATATCCGACAGAATATGTCTACACTCTCCGGTCCTCTTAGAGGCCTTTCAATCCGGAGGAATAATTTGGAAGCTAAGATGTGCCGGTGTCGTTGGGCTTAATTATTTACCTTATTTATGAGGAGAGGAATAAGCACACCTTTGAGGAAACGCTCCCCTCTTCCGTTGACAAAGTCTTTCGGAGGTTTCGATTCTCTTCTACATGATCCTCCACTTTCACAAGGCGAGATCATACCTGTTTACATCTCGACCGGTAGGTTCGGTTCGTGGGTCTTTTGCTCAATTTCACCATGGCTTCCTTCCTTGGCGTGGTTCTTTAACCTTATTGGGTTGCTTCGAAGGTTGTTCTGATTTTAGGCTTTATTTTGGTCGGTCCGGTTTGGCTATGCTCTTAGTTGGCACTAGCCTCCTTTGATTACCCGAAACTCTTTGCCTAGCTTCGTATCTTATTGGCCACGCCTTGGTCTTT